GACATCCTTTATTCTGAATGTTCAAAAAATGTGTGATGAAGATCTGAAAGACTTTCAAACAGGTCAGTATATTTTTGTACAAAAGAAAGACACTGAAAAAATATCGGTGTTGGCTGTCAGCTACATTATAAACATCAGTGTTGGTATTGGCCCAAAATTTCATCGGTGCATCCCCCAGTGTGCACGTGTGTGTGTATATATGTGTGTGTGTGTGGATCCATGCCAAAGATGTTCCACTGTGTCGCCGTGAGGCAGCCAAACTAGTAAACGGGGACGGGTCTCTGTTCACAGAAAAAGTGACAAACCAAAAACATGTAAAAATTTAAAAAAAAAAAGAAGAAGAAGAGGAAATTCACATTATACATTATGATAATCATTACAAATAAAATTATAATAACAATATAAAATCATGTTCTTCTTCTCTGACTGCACAGAGTCTGAGTGCTTCTTAGAAATGGGTTCGGACATGATAAAAAGGGTTACGTCTTCAGTTCGGACGAAGGCTGGCGTCCATGTCTGTCAGTCCAGCTCACCCGCCCGCAGAGGATTAATAGGAGGGGGATCGAAAATAAAATAACATAAAATAAAATTGCAAAACAAAGCAAGGTAAAATGACAACTTTTTGTTTAGATCTAAATACCTACCAGCTAAATAGAATAATGCTTCATTGACTGTTTCATATGGTCATAAAAACCCAATAAAGAGGAGAAAAATAAATTATACTGTACATAACTTACTAAACTTAGGAAACGTTGACCATCCTTATAATTATTGTTAATAATATTATTAGACTAGAGGCAGTTTGAAGAAAAATAATAATAAAATACAGTATTCAAATACAAACAGAAACACTGACTGGCTGACTTCACCTCAGCTCCGCCCACTGCAATACAGCAGGACAACGTTGATTGGAGGGTGGGGGGTTAGGAAAACACTGGACAGAACACAGTGTGCGTGTGTGTGTGTGTGTTACAGGAAATAACAGCAGCAGCATTAGTTGCCTGTCTTTCTGCAGTATTATTAGCTTTCTCTTTGCGAGCGCGTGTGCAAACGTCCAATGGTGGAGCACACACACGGACACACACTCGCACTGTTGGGATGTTTCGATCGAAGTCGCACTGATGTGGGTTTTTTTGCCCTGGACGAGATCGAGATAGAGGGATGGAGCGAGAAGGAAACCGGTGGATTGTCTCGCAACACAGTGCTTTTGTTTCTGCTCCGTGACGCCAGAGAGACTTCCCTTTGCTGCGACCCGCCCCTCCCCACACACCGAGAATCCACTCAAAGTGGGACAGTCCACTTTGTGCTGGTCAGTCCCGGCTGGACCGTCCCATTTGATTCCATGCGATGCAAGGAGGGGAGGCGGGGTAAGCGGGCGGTCACAAAAAAACACAAAGGGGGAGAAAAATTGGGGGGATTGCTGACAGCACACTGCGAGGTTGAAGAAAAGATATCTTTTTGTTAAAAATAAATGTCTCATGTCTTTCAGGTGCTTTACAACAAAAGGGGAAAAAAGAAAAGTCTCTTTTTTCTATTATTATTCAAACTTGTAGCACAAAAACAACAAATCACATTCACAAGCCACTTATTGGCACCGTGTACCTGAGTGAGAATATTATAGAACCAAAGAACAAAAAAAGCTGTTTTACTTTTAAAAATGTCTCTTGATAATAAACAGGTCCGCCATCTTAAAGTGTCACGTTAGCCTTTGACAGGTCCTCTGTTTTTCAGTTTTTCTTCAACAAACGGGACTGAAAGGTTGCTTTCTGAGAGCCATGTTGCTTTCTCTTCACTCGTGGCGTTACACTCTAACACCTGCAGTGCTATGTGGGTATTCCTCAGCGAGCTTCAGAACTGCCGTGGTCGTCTCTTCCTCCAGTCAGTGTGTAACAGTCAGTGTGAGTGACAGGTCCTGTGCTTCGGTTGATTGATCAAAAGATGCTGGTATCAGGACTCCGGGGGGAGAGGAAGGGGAGGGGAGTGGATCTGGCTCTATTAGAAGAGTCCATGTTAGTCGGGGGGAGGGGGGTGGAGGGGGCGGTGAAACTGGTTCCAAAGCGATTGGCAAAAGCGAAAGGTTTCTTCCTGATTGGTGGGGATTTTGTGAGATTAACCAGCGGTGATTGGCTTACAAAAAAACAAAACAAAACAAAAAAAGCAGGCGGTGCTGATGCCGTCCTATTGGGTGATATGGTTCTCGTTATCGCTGGCGTAGTCGCCATCTTCGTCCTCGTAGTCAAAGTCGTCGTACACGTCGCCATTGCTGTCGTCTAGCCTGAGCTCCTCCTCCTTGATTCGCGGCTCCTCCCCCTTGAGGCCGGGCATGCCGGGGTTCTGGTGGTGGTTGGCGTTGGGCTCGGGGCTGCTGGACATGCTCGAGTGCTCTGAGGGCATCTGGGGTGAAGGCATCCCCGCCATGGATAGGGCACCTGGGTAAACGACGCCTGCAGAGGACAACGGCAGCTGACCCTGCTGCCTGCACGCACACAGGAAGAAGGCCGTCAGCACATTAAATGCAGCGCTCGCAACACTTTTGAAATCATAAATGTTGAGATCCCTCCCTCTCTCTGTGAGCCATTAAGAAAATGATGACACATATGGGGGAAAACTTAATTCCTTTCATATCTATGTGGTAAACATAAACCTACAGCCTGCGCGCTGTTAGCTTAGCTTCTCATTAAAACTGGAATTGAGAGAAAACTGACAGTTTGACGTCTTCAGTCTTTTCTCGAGCACCGACAGTGATTCTTAAAGCATCACGTCTGAAACCTCTGACATTTATAACCTGAGTGCGCGTTCTCAGCTAAACACTCAGAAACAGCTCTTACTTTCTAAACACAATATTGCACTCGATGTGGATGAAACCTCACGGCCTGACCCACACAGAACACGTGATTTATCCTGATGTGTTTTTTAGAACAAATGTTTTTTTTTTTCACAAAAGAAAAAAGAATTAAACTGTATTCAATCTGTAATGCTTGGATTCTACATCCATACTTTACACATCTGGATACCCATGTGCATGTGTGGTCACTTAAGTATATGGACAAACTTTAATGCAAATGGCTTCGCCGTGTACGCACAACAGAAAAAAGCCACATTTCTAATTTGTACTCTCTGCTAATAATATTGTTATTAGCAGAGAGGTATGTTTATTCAAATGATGGTTTATGTTTCATGCAGGAAGACAAAACTGATTTATTTCTCTCATAAGATTTTCGTTTTTGGAACAATGGTTTGATTCATCGAGTTTTTGTGTTTTTTTATTGTTGTTTTTTTCAACAGCCTTTAGTTTCAAATACAGGATCTAAGCATATAAAATTAATAACATTAATAAAACTGTAAAGGGACAAACAAAATCTTCCTATGGGCAACCATAAGGTTCAATTCTAAGTGGATAAAACCATATAAAGCATATAAAACTGTAGCTGTTGCTTCTCTTGACTCATGATTTAGGAAAATTTAAAAAAATTAAAATCAAAGGCAATATCCAAACAAAACTGTGCATTTTGTGCTTATTATCTCATAACACTCACTGTGACCCCTTGTGAGAAAAGTAAGCCTGTAGTTTAATTTTTGATATTATTATTTAAAGGATTGTATTTAAAAACGCTCAAAATAGGACATTTAAATCACACTAAAGGAGAACACCTCCTGCTTCTGTTTATAACTAACTCAGCATCTCGTTGTCACGCCTGTTCCGACACAAAATTCAATTTGTTAAGGTGAGGGGCGGGCCTCGCTGCAGGTAGGCCGCAAACAACAAAAGGAAATTATGCAATTATGCGCTGACTTGCTTTCTCCAAATTTCTGCTGCGATTTTTTTTTTTGTGAGTAATTCATTAAAAACTGAAAGATTGATTGATTTTTTTAGGCGTTTGATGTGACAGGAGAAGAAAAAGAAACAGTAACTCATTTAAAATATGAAGTACAAAGTCAAACACATGCCCAAAAAAAGTAATTGTTAATCCCTGTTTTCTTACTGGAAAAACAACAACAAACAAACAAAAAAAAGCCAACCCACTCACCCCACACTGAAGTACTGTCTCATTTCCTGCCTGCGGGACCTCATGATGGCCTTGTACTCGCCGATGCGCAGCTTCTTGCCGTCCACCAGGCAGGTGCGTTTGGGCCGTGGCTTGTACTTGTAGTCGGGGTATTTTTCCAGGTGCTGCTTGCTGAGCCGAGCCTGCTCCTCGTAGTACGGCTGCTTCTCCAGGTTGGTCATGGCTTTCCAGCGTGAGCCTGCGCACACAGAGCATGCATTGTTAGGGATGGCTGTGTGTCTTTGGGAAAAATAAAATAAAAAAAGGCACATGGGAGGTTTCCAGAGAGAGCTTTTGTCTAAGGGAGGAAACTGTGAAATGTGATCATAGAGCAAGACGACAAATAACATCACAGAGATGAACGATAATGAAAAGCTGGCATCGATGTCGCTGCACTGTGAGCGCCGCTGAGATAATGTTGGACGTTTCACCCGGATAGAGAACGCATAGAGCGCTAAAGGAGGTTAATGAGGGGAGCAGCGGGGACGACAGGTACTCATCTCAGCTAATGAGGACTTCACTTAACCTGCTGTCATCTCTCAGCTCAGTTTCTGCTTGTAGCGTCAGCGCCCTGCATGTGTGTGTGGGTGTAATCTTGAGCATGTCTTCCCCCTGTGTGTTTCATATCTGGTCTGAATTTGCACTTGACTACTGTATGTTTAATGGTTAAAAGCTGTCAGTGCTCGGCTGTTCGCTCTCTCCGTCTTTCTCTCTCTGTTTTCTGCGATCTGTTAGCAATCGAGAGAGAGAGAGCGGGAGGGAGGGAGAGGGAGAGAGAGGAGGCTTATTAAAACCAGATTTCCCTGTGTTATAAAACGCTTAGGAGCTCTTTAAAATGTCAGGGCCGATCCCGGCGGTCTGGGGGAAATGTCAGGCGGCCTCGCGCTGCTTGTTTAATGCATAATGAATTATATCATCATTTGTCGAAGCTGTGCTCTCCCTAACCGTTCATTAACAGCACTTACACAATGCCACTGCTTGTAAGGAAATCACAATTAGTGCATGTGTGTGAGTGTGAGTTTAAGAAAGTGGAAAATACAACTCACACCAGTTATGAGAGGGTGAGGGTGGAGCAAAGCCACCTGTCATTCACACCGTGCGAGTGTAGGTGTGCGATTTTTACCAAGGATCTTGCTGATGTTGGAGTTGTGCATGTCGGGGAAGGCCTGGAGGATCTTTCGCCTCTCGTCCTTGGCCCAGACCATGAAAGCGTTCATCGGCCTTTTGATGTGCGGCTCGCTGGTGCTACGACCCCGAGACTCTCGGAATATCCTGGAGTCTGACACGCTGGGAGAGCCTGGGGAAGGGAACCAGGGGGTCAAACGTTTACGGAAAACTGGACAAGTTTCGTTCATTAGACGAGCTAAAATGCTGGGAATTTTTTTGCATGGGAGAGAAAAATCTGTTGCTCATTAAGCTAAATAAATATCATACAGAGTTTTACTCATAGTTCATAGAGAGGTAACGGTTATTTTCTCTTTTATTCAGGAAAAACAAAAAACTTAATTATGAAAATTATTGATATCATTAAAAGTCTTTCAAATCTTCATCACTCCGTCGTGGAACAATCAGCGAGCGAAATATCGTGGTGAAACAGATAAACAGCAAATTGGTAAACATGACCTCATTTGCAGGCAGGCTGATATCAGTTAATATAAATATTTGGCAGATATACGGTACCAGCCTGGAAGACTTTCATCTTCTTGTCATCGTTCATCAACACTCACAGCCTTTTTCTCGGTTTAGTGACTCCATGCATAAACTGTGCATGCCGTGTGTGTGTGTGTGTGTTTCCCTACCGTCAGAGTCTCCACTCATGGTGAAGTCCAGCATGGCGTGGCTGAACTTGTTCTCGGCCTGCTGCTTCAGCTGTTGACTCAGACTCTCCAAGGCAGCTTTGTCCTAAACAACACAAACAGTTCACAGTTTGTGGTCAGTGACTGAGTCAGGGAATATGTGAATGAATGAAACCACAAACCTGCAGTGATGCCGAACAATTTCCTTTTGCACCCACAACAAGTCATTCTTGTGACTGATTTCATAACTATGAAAAGCAAAGACTGTCTAACGTTTAAATGTGTCACAGTTTCAGTGAGCGGAGACGCCGACTCTCTGTCGAGAGATGAGAAACTCAGGAATATTCCTCACACTCGCCTTTGATCTGAAACAAATCTGTTTATTTATCGTTTTTCTATCAATACAGAGGCTGCAGACAAATGACGGTTGTAATTTAAGTAGAAAGGCAGTTTGTGTTTTGGTTCATTTCAGTGTCAGTTTGTGGAAGCATCAAATTGTTTGAGTGCGTTATGCCCGCACGCTTGAACACACATCTGTGTGTATTGTTTGCATGTGCAAGAATGTTGATTACATTTGCTCCTATCTGGATGTTTGCCGCTTTGTGTGTACACTGCATATTCTGTGTGTACAATGGATTGTGTGTGTGTGGCAACTCCTGGCAGCCACCTGCGAGAGTGGAGTGCTGCGGCTTGCCTCTCTCTTGCAGAGGCCCCCAAGGGTCGACGCATTAGAGAGAGAGAGAACGAGAGAGTGCAGCACAGACGAGAGCGAGGCCACGCCGCACGGCCCCCTGGGTATTTATTACAACCAATAAAAGGCTGATTTACTGAGCATTTACATGCTTAATGCAAGCAGCCGGCACACTCTGCGCTAGAACTTGACTGCAGACGAGCACACACGCTCGCACACACGTACGCAGAGGCGCACCAGCGCGAGCGTTTTACAGTTTAATTATACGATTAGGAGCGCTACCCAAAACACTGTCGTCTTCTAAAACAACCTTCCAAAAAGTGTCCCTCTCCATTTACATGTGACCCTGGCGAGCTGGCTGGCTAGATGGAGGGAGGGCAGAATGATAATGAAATGCATTTTCTCTGTTTTTAGTCCAATAGAGTTTAATTGTTAGCGATAATTTCCTCCCCAGATTGGAATAAATACGGCTAAAAAGACAGGAAGGGAAGCGGGAGAATAAAAGCCAGAGGCGTGCAGCGAAACGTGTTTTTGCAAGCCTTTTAAAAAGTATTTTATTTGGAATTTTGTATGTTTTTATAAATGCTCAATAACCTGCCAATGGGTTGGAATTATCCAGCCATTCTGCATGCAAATCAGACGTATTTAAAGAATCGTCCTCATTTCGCACAAATAAAAGCCTCATTCAAACTTCCTTCCACAAAAAAAGATAAGAGAGCACAAAGTGTGCTTCTCACTTTTAGATCGTAAGATTAAATGTGCTGTTTCGAATGCTTTTATGCCGTGTGTGTATGTGTGTGTGTGAGGCAGAGATGGAGATGAACAGGGAGACCGAGTGGATGACAGCCTAGTCTGACATTAAGCTCCAGTATAGTACATGAGAAACGTGGATTGAATGGCTGACACTGGAGCCAAGACACAAAGTAGCGACAAAACTAATCCTGCGTGTGTGTCATGGATGACACTGTTGCATGTGAACGGCGGGAGCTCGCCTGTTTCACACAAAGCCAAAGGGAACAGGAGTCAAGGTGAGCGTGTGAGGATGCAAACGAGTTACGACTTACAAAAAAATATTCCCAGTGCCGAAGCTAAAAATGTTTTATAGTAACAGGATTGCATGTCGAAAAAGAGAAATGTAAAACAGAAATAAGAATTTCTTTCAACAATTCTCCTGTTATTGTTAATAAGTAATTATTATATGATTCCACAGTACAACTGATATAAAAAACTTATAATAACAGGAACTTGAACTGATCTAACGAGACATGAAAAATGTCAGTGTTTAAGCACCTAAATGTCTCCACGTAGGCAAGGCAAGTTTATTTGTATAGCACAATTCAACAACAAGGTGATTCAAAGTGCTTTACAGAGACATTAGAAACAAAAACAAATAAAAAGCATGATTTAAAATTGATTAAAACAAGCAAACTAACTAACTAATTAACAAACAAACAAACAAACAAACAAAACAATATATAAAATCAAAACAGATAAAATCAGTAGTTAAAATGTAAGTTTTGGAACAAAGGAAGGAAGGAACGTAAGGAACAAACTGTAAAATACGTTCCCTTACTCACTGGTATAATTATCATATTTCCAGTTCTCACTGGTTATAGTCATGTGTGATGCAGTGTGTTACTATCTGTGTACAATGCAGAGATCAGTGTGGGTTAGACACTTTGAAACGTGTCACATCAAAGTAAAAAAAGGAGAAAGAAAGAAAGCGAGGGATAGAGCTGTTGAATGTCAGCAGTGCAGATGCTTCCAGCACGCTGTTACCCTGCATGTATGCACGCGTGTGTGTGTGTGTTTGTGCGTGTGTGTGCACCAGCTGACTCCCAATGTGTTTAACAAATAACCACAATTTGGCCACGCTGCCGAGGAGCCGGCGCCGTCATTTCGCATTACCGTCTCCTTGACGCTCTGCTCTACCACACACACACACACTCACACACAGCCCTGCAGTGCGCCTTACAGACACACTCATTACCTCTGAGATGCCTCTGGTTTTACCTTATCTGGCCCTGTTTAGCTTCAACACATTTCAGCGAGAGCATTGTACACCGATTTACCTCCTACATGGTGCAGCGAGGATGGCATATGGCAAGACAAATTATTACATGCTGACAATGAGACGGTACAGCTTGTGATGACTTTGGAGAGTCTGGTGGATTTACAGTATGTGTTCAGTCCCAACAATTCAGATTTTTAATTTTTTTCCTGGTTTAAAAATGTGTATTTATTTGTAAGAATCCACATACACTTTTAACTTAACTGAACACTTTGATTTAGTGTGACCCCAAAAAAAAACAAACATTAACAAGATGCAGAAGTAAAATAAACCTTTGATCAGCTGTCACACTCGCCCGTCATGTTCTGTTACGTAGATGCGATTTGAAGTGCTTTACCTTGTCTGAGCGGCCGTTGTTGAGGCTGAGGTTGCTGACGGCTGCCACCTTGGCATCCAGCACCTGCTGCTCTCTCTTCAGCTGCTCCTTCATCTGCCGAGCCTCGGCGAAGGCCTTGGTCACCGCCTCGTGGTCGTTCAGGTAGGCTGTCGAAGACAGCGACGACAACAAGTCTGCTGAGGCGCAAAGACGGCAAGAGACGGAGACGCACGCACACAAACACACACGCAGAGGACAATCAATTAATGTGGATAATCATTAGTGGTGAATATGTAGGTGGGACTCGTGTTGAGCGTCTTCATTTCCTTTATTTCCTTCACAAGAAAAACACTGAATAGCATTTTGCTTTAACAGTTGAGCTCGGACGGGAAAATTAATATGTCTTGAGCGTGTGCTTGTTTATTTTTAGGAACCTGGCAGGAGGTTTTTCATGCAGAATAAATCTTCTTCTGAACCGTGAGGTAAAGACATTAACATACACTTGATGAGGGGACTTTGCCAGAGCATCTGTGTATGCCTCTGTGTGTGTAGACTCGCACACTCACACAAACTGACCATTTGACTGTTGAGCTGTGGATGTGAGTCAGAGAGCGCCCCTAGGTAGCCTTGTTGCAAGCTGCCCACCACCTCCCACCTGCCATCAGCCTTAAACACACACACACAGCCACTCTAAACCACTCAATATCCTTTAAACGACATTAAAACTCACTTTCGCACATCTGACGGCTGTGACTCTTTTCATCTGAGCCCTCACAGTCCTGCTTTGAAGAGAGGTGGCCACACTCTTATTACAGCTAAAAAGTCCTGCTAATTTTCCCAGTTGTGAACATCTGCTCCGCAAAGATCAGATCTCCCCACTCCTTCTCACTGCCTATTACTCGTATTATTTCTGCAGCTTAGCTTCTGATGAGGCATCTGCTCTGTGTGCACTGCTATCGCCTCTCCCTATCAGTCGGGTAGGTTCTTAACAAAGAGCCCCGGCTGGCTTATGAGGCCTTTATCTGCGCTAATCCGCACCGCTAATGCCATCTCAGGCCAGATTACCAGCTTCAGATTGGTAATGACAGAGCTGTGAACTCTTACAGAAGTCATAACCGGAAAATCTGGATGTGGAAAAAAAAAAAGAAAAGAAAAGAGAGAAAAAAAAGGGTAAGGGGCAGCAGGGTTGGGAGGGGATGGAAGAGGAAGAAGACAGAGGGTGATGGAACTGGGTGGCGGTCAATTTTAATCTGGAGTCAAAAATGGGTTTTTCTTTCGTGCCTACAATCGTGTTCGTCGCCTAAACTGACTGCAACGCCAGACATCCAGACAAGTAGATGTGACCCAGATAGAGCGGTGGGGTTGGAGGGGGGTCTTGCTCCTTCGGTCAACTTTTTTCTGAAATCTCTACAGACAAGTGTGATACATTTTAACCACACACACAAAAAAAAACCTCATGCAAGAGGTCAGGGCTGCGCTTTATGACAGCGACAGAGACGAATGTGTGATCGTGGTAGAAGTTACAGGAGCTGACAGCACTTCAGTTCAGTTTGAAATGAGGAGATGGACAGACAGACGAGACACATGCCTCAAGCTTGATAGGTGTCAGAATTTGAAAGGAAGCAGGACAGTAGGGCGGATATGAGCAACAGACAAATCCAATCTCACGCACATTGAAGCCTTAAAAAAAATGTCGACTTTCTCCAAACTTTTTTGTGTTGAACTCTATTTGATTATTAGCTCCAACATGTAAAAAGTACTTTTGTTTAATTTTTAGCTGTTTGTGCTCGAGATTGTTCTGATTCGTTTTTGTTTGGGAAGCAGCAAAACAACACGGAACAAGCTTTCAGATAGTGATGTAAAAATAAAAACAGCATATCCCACAGGAATATGGTGGAGCAGAGAAAGAAAAAAGCTCATTTGATGATTTCTATAGTCTTAAAGAGTTGACCTGAGAGCAGATGACTGAATTCAAATAACCTGAAAAAGGCAGACATAATCTGCACCATCCTGACAAACAACTCGCTTCCACGTCAAAACAACCACCTCTCGACTCTATCCCAATTGGTCTGCTCCTTCCATCCCCGATAAACTACGTAACAGGAATCCCAATGCGGCCGCGAGTTGTAATAGCAAACGCTCCGGCGACCGGCTAAACTCGGTGGCAACAGATGGGACCGTGAGCTGCAACATAACTGGGATCTGACACACTCGTCCCCACGCTCAAATAATTCAACTGGGATCACACACAAACTTTAAACACTGTAATCCATTTTTCTGAACAAAAAACATCTGGGACTGAAAATCCACTAATCTGATATTAAATCCGCCGATTTGTTGAAAAACAGTGAGATTAGCCGGGAAGTCGGAAAAACTGCCTATTGCACAGGAGGAGGAGGTGGTGGTGCTGGGATTGTGTTTCTGTGCGAGTGTGTGTAAGAGCCTTTGTGTGCGTCTGAGTGAATGTTTGAGTGCGTGTGCTGTCATTGTGTCATTAATGCTGGGTGTTTGCGCTGTCCCGGCTCATGTAAGAGGCTTGTCTAATCTCATTGGTGATACCTCCTGTCTGTCATGCACTCCTCTCTTTATTATTCCCCCGCTTAGTTGCATGGAGGGAAAAAAAAGTGCTAATCCTCATCTCTCTCTCTCCCCCCCCTTACCTCCTTTCCCTCACTCCTCTGTCTCTTTCAGTCACTAATAAACACATAACAATGAAGCAGCCCCGCGGGCAAATAGCGACATGGAAGAACAGCGCAAACACACTAATTATAGCCTGTTACATATGTGTAATATTTGAACTATCAGTGGTGCGTGAAAAATGGATTAAGAGTACAAAATAGTGATTCATTTATGTCATATTTTGTACGTGTGCATATGGCCGGGTCTGATTATGGTACTGGCACTCGCAACAATGGCACCACTGCGAGAAGAACGCTATTCTTGTCATCGGAGCTATAACTGTTTTTCTAAAAGAAGTTTATTGTCGTTGTGGGAACAACTTCCAAGCACCTTTCACAGGAGCGCATTGAAATATATAAGTGCTTAAGGAACTGTGGTAAACATCCACTGACAACTTATTGGCAGGAAAAGAATTCATTGTTTAGATCAGGGACACCAAAACATGGCTATAAGTTACATTTCCTATTCTTTAAATGGCTTTGCTACAAATTACATCGAAGGCTTATCAAGCCAACTGTATATTCTGGGGCATTTACTAACATCACTGAACGAGGCTCTGCTGGTTATTTTGAGGTTTCTTCCTGTAAACTAAGGATGGATTTGCCATCAGAGCTCCCAAACTGTGCAGCAGTCCCTCTGAATCACCAGTCTGGTGAATCTCATAATACATTCTTGATTCAGAAAAGATTTTTTTTAATGAAAGTTGGACATTGTGACACTTTTTTCTTATCACGTTTTCGTGATTTGTTTGTTTATTTTATGATCCTGGGACGTTTTTATCACTTGTGGTTTTCTTTTGTTCTTTTTTGGAGTCTTCCTGCAAAGCACTATGTCATTTTGTTAAATACAGATTTGATCAGTTAATGTTTATTTTTGGTCCATCAACCTATGAACAAGTATGTGGTTTAAATAATACACATGCACAACAAAACTACTGAATATCCCAACTTTTGGCCAGATGAAATGTCTTAGCTGGTCTGTGTAATCCTGTGTAAACACACCTGTAGTGAGTTCAGCACCTGTCCCAATCAATGTGGAAACTGGAGTACCAGTTGCCCCTCAGTCCAAGAAAACAGATATTTTGGTATATTTAGGTTTAACTATTTTACATCTATGTAGGTATCTAGCTTTGCAGGAGTATGACATCAGCACAGTGCAAACTGCTGTGATTGTTTTTGTGTGTGTGCTGTGAATGTGTGAGCATTTACATCCACTTACCAATTGAGCTGACTCTGGTCGGTGGTCCTCCAATGCTGGAGGGGGCAACGCTGTGCTTCATGGAAGTGGGGTCCAGCTTGTTCGCAGCAGCAGCAGCAGCCGGCACCTGTGGGGAAGTTGGGGGGGAGTTGGGTGACTTGCTCTCGGATGCCTTAGGCTTGGCCGACAGGTTCAGTGGCTGTGCACCCTCACTGTCCTGCAAAAACCAAAACAGCACAGTTTCGCCTGCTGTGACCACCGAAGGAATTTGGAAGCGGGAGGCGCGGGGCCCACCCTCGCCCTCCCCTCACCGAGACCACTTTCAATGGAGGTGTGCTAATCGAACGGGAGCCCATGCACAGCAATCTGAGGCAAGCCCCGGCGGGACGAATCACAAGGTGCATGCCACTGCCCCTTTCCAAACAGCTCGTAATAAGCGAAAAGATAAAGCATAAAAATAACGGCACATACGAAAATAAATATTTGCATATTTTGGTGCGAACCACTGACATTCACATGCAAAATAACCGACTTCCTGTCACAGCAAACTCGACCTTCAAACAAGGCGGTTCATGCACGTGCACACTCCGCATGCAGGCTCCGGCAAACATGCACTATGGTGCTTCACATGCTAAAAACAACCAAACACACGAGGACGAGAAACACCTTGAACTCATTCGTAAGACTACAGTCTTTCACAGAGAAAAACACCTCAGAGAGTCTTTAGAGGTGTGAGAGTCTCAAGACACTGAACAGAGGGCTGTCTGTCACTTCAATGTGCACTTGGTCCATTAGAAACGGGGAACCTTCATGGTCGGGAACGTGCGTGTGTGTGGGGGGAAAAGCGGAGAAGCCCTTTCTGCCTCATCCAAAAACGCACCGATAGCACCTAACAAACGATCAATACGATTCTTAAAGCTGGTTTTTGAGGTCCGTTTTGTTAACAATATTTATCAGAGATAAACAGAATCCCTCCACTTCCTGTTACTCGTACTGCACAAACCTGGGCTGCAATTAAACCAGAGGAGCAGAAGGGGGCGCTCGTAAGATAGCCTTCAATTAATAGGAGTTAATGGAGCTAAAATAATCAGATTTTTATTTTTAGACCAAAGCCTCAAATTTTATTTCGCTATTTTAACTTTTTAGAAAATATGTCCGAGCTGAAATAGAATAACTTTATCTTCCTTAAAGGGAAACTTAGTTGTCCCATAAAAATGATAGCATTTTGCTAATGTGTGTTGATGGGTCGTTAAGGTTAATAACACAAAACTAAACTAAAACATGGTTAAAATGACAGAGAACTACATGCGTACAAGAAGCAGCTGGTGGGGGAGGTTGACTGTGGTCGCTATCACGTGGCTGCTCGTAGCCGCTGCACATTTTGTGAGTGAACTCAAAATGGTGCGTGCTGTTAAGTGGTTTGTGGTGTTGTGACACCCCAAAGATATTTGACTAAAAATAAACCTGACAAAAATCTAAAAGTGGAGATCACCTTCTATTGGAAACAGAGACCATTTTTGGAGAAAAAAATGTTTACTCCAAAAGATTTACATGCTTGACGTGTAACACAGTAAGGATGAATTTGTTCTGTACCATCTTCTGAGCGCCCCGCATGAAATCGGAAATCCAGACGCTAAAAAACGTAAAGTATTCCTAAATTCTTTGATTCGATTAAATTCCCTCATCCATCCATCACCGTGTTGCTCGGCACACAGCAACATCCTCAACACAACAGACAGCGCTCCTTAAGTAAATCGCCATGTGGACCACCACTGTTATCACGTTAACTGTCATGGCAACGTCACCCCTGCTGATGACCTAATCCAATCAGGAGGAACCTTAGAAGGTCACATGACAGGAAGGAAGAATTGGATCGCAGAGGGGCCAGATGTACACAAACCACTCTGTGTAATTAAAACTCCACAATTAAAAGCCAGACACAACATGAGAGGATGGACGGCTTAACGGGTCAGCCAGCTAAAGGCGCACAACCGAGTCAAAAGGAGGCCTACAAATACAGTTTCCTTGGTTGTTTCACAACATTCATCTTGTGTATACTTTGGAAAACAGGATAAAGGAGAAATTTTGCCATTACAGGTGTAGCAAAATTTAAGCCTTACAGCAGAGAGAATAGAGACATTATTTGTCCTTATTTTCTGGTCATTAGTCTAATTGCTGCTTAGGCAAAGTAGAAACTGGCATACAGTGGAAAAGAGAAACTGTTGTGTGTATGTGTGTGGTATATTCACTCATTAAGGCCGACTTTCCCTGATTCCCACTCCTTGAGTCTTACTAAGCCTTATGAGCCCCTCACAACTCAATTAAGCCTTTCCAATTAAGCCCCCATACATGTGTACGTGTTCATGCATGTGCGTGAGTGTGTGTGCACGCAATGAGGCCTAACCGGATTGTCCTTCATTAGGAGGGGTGGGGTGGGTTGGGGGGTGGGGGCTTTCTAAATAGATGGAGGACCCCCCAAAGATGCCTTCAGTGAGACAATGGGCTGGAGAAGATGAGGAGAGAAAGGAGCAAACTGAGGAGGATCTTCTCAATCCTGACCCATATTATGGTGGGCTTTGGCTGGGAACGTGTTTGAATATTTATTACAAATAGATAATGCCTATGCCTCTTGTACAGTGGATTGGGGGAGTTTCCCTTCGCGCCAAGCCAAATCCTGTGGTGGGAAGGTGGCCAACCTGCATTATGCCAGTGTGGAGGAATTAGTTTAGACAGTGGAGCTGAGAGGCTTGGACCGACTTGTTTGTGTGTGTGTGTGTGTGTGTGTGTGCGTGTGTCACTGTAAGACATTGTTCAACAAGCTCTAAATCTCATGACAGTGTGTGTGTGTTTATGTGTGTGAGAGAGGCCTCTAAAGCCTCTGAAAGGCTTGGAATCTCGAATTAATACAATTGCTTTTGTGCCTCTCTTGGCTGATGAAACAGTCTCCAGCTTTGAGACCGAAAACATGCAGAGTGACAGTGAGAGCCAGAAGGACACAGAGAGACAGAGGAGAAGCAGAAGGGGAGAGATAACACGTATAAAAGTGCGTGTGTGTGTGTGTGTGGGCTGGATTTCACTTCTGTGGATGCCGACATGTGAAAGCGACATCAGGGTTCTGCATCTTATCGCAGGAGCTGACGGTTCAATTAACAGGACAAGTGTGTGTGTCACTACAGTTTATCCCAGTCAGGCCTTCGTGCGTGTGTGTAGGTGTGTGTATGTGTGTGTGTGTGTGTGTGTGGGGTGGGTGCTAAGGACAAGACCCTTAAATGTGCCTTTCACTCTTCATCTCCGCATCTCTTTCTTCCCTTCCAGCTATAAGTGACTGTTCAGATATTAATTACACTGTCATAGTTTCCTGTGTGGCACACACTCAAATTAACTTGTTGATTTGTGGATTTTCTATCTGACTCCAATCATACAGGAGTTTTGAAGATAAAACAGGCAGGAATATTGAACACAATATACTTCTATTATTTGAGTAAACGATTTTCATATATGCACTCTTAAATAATGAAGCACAGTATTATGAGTTATAGCAAATTACTGTAGACCCCTGAGGGTCTCCTGAATCCACTTTAAGAAGCACTGTACTAGGCTATCAAGGTTTCACAAAGGGAATTCTGTACCCACTGATAATGCACATCGCCATTAAAAGGATAAATAAGCAATGTGCAGAAAACATATTACTACACTATCAAATAGTCTCAAATAGGGATGCAGTATCGAAGCAACCGGGTTACGTGTGGTGCATTGAAACAACATTGTGTGGGTCTGTATGCATCTGAAGATCCACTCTTGCATATAAGAAAGCTGCATGTAATTGCAGCTGCAGTGATTTGACCGTGAGTGTAGGTTCTAGTTGGTGCCTAGCTCTACACCTGTGTGTGCATGTGTGCTTTTTTTTTTTTTTTTAAATGTATGTGTGTTTGTCCGTGTATCACCAGAGGGTAAAGCACTTAAGCAGTGTGAGCCTGAGTCCAAACAGCTGTGAGCAGAGGCGGGCAGTGGGCCTTTAAATGACTAGAGACCTGAGACAGAGCCCACAGGGAGAGCACACCACTGAAATATACATGTCACTCGACCAGAGAGAGAGAAAGAGTGTTAAAGGGAATCAGTGAGAGCACCTCAGTGGTCAGCCCGAAAGAGAGAAAGAGGAAGAAAGAAAGAAAAGAGAAAGAAGAAATCAAGAAAGAAAACTCTCCAAAGCACTTATCTAATGTTTGTGAACAGCTCTGTGGTCAGTCTGCGATTTTGCCTCTACGGAGACTGTCGGGGTCTGCCTTGGTCCACTCCCCAGTCAGCCACTCCCGCTGGACTGGGGAGGCCATTACGACTCCCTGCTTCTCCTCCACCACAGGCCACAGCACTTGCCTGTCTTCCATATATATGGTAATAACGTGTGTGACAGTGGGGGCAGGATGGCTGGATGGCAGAGTGTGTGTGTGTGTGATGGAGATGTAGGGAGGGGCTGATGGACAAGGAAGTAGGGGTGCAAGCTCTGGGGTCAACCACATGCTTTAATATCTGTCATGAACCAGTCCTGTGTGTGTGTGTGTGTGTGTGTGTGTAAACACAGGGGTTGGAACAGGGCAAGAACAACGCAGAAATTAACAGAGACGAAAAAGTTAGAAGTAGCAAAGAAGATGTGGAAATAAGGAGGACAGGAAAGAAGAGTTTAGGAAAGACAAAGGAAAGGAGAAGGAAGGCAGAAGAAGAGGAAACCCGGAAGCTTTCATTTATGTGGCAACAAATGTGAATTCAGCTTGTCGAACTTGGTGGGATTTTGATAGTCTAGTATTACTTATAGACACAGTGCCTGTGTTTATGATTGACTATAACATTTATGAGGGTCACAGAGTGGACAGAGGGTGGTAGGAGGCATGGCTGTTTGTGTGTGTGTGTGTGTGTGTGTGTCCCAATGGCCAACCAGATATTCATAGAATTCCACTTGGATGGTCACAAGGCTTCTCCTCGCCCCTATTGGGCAGCCAGCCGAGAAAACGGCAGAAGCACCAATACATCCTGAATTCCGACCAGATACCAGCTGGAAGTTTCTGATAAACCTTTGGTGTTTGAGGTGAGCTGATCG